TTAGCATGTCTAGCATAGCGTGTCTAGTTTAGCATGTTTAGCATAGCGTGTCTAGCATAGCATGTCTTGTTTAGTATGTTTAGCATAGCGTGTCTAGCATAGCATGTTTAGCATAGTGTGTCTAGCTTAGCATGTTTAGCATAGTGTGTCTAGCATAGCATCCCTTGTTTAGCATATCTACCTTAGTATGTCTAGTGTAGCATGTTTAATGTGACCTTTGACCTCGACAGGGTGAAGTACACAGGCCTGTTCTCCTACCTGCTGCTGCTGGGCGTGGCCTCGCTGCACAGCTGGAAGCTAATTGGAGATCAGGCCCAGAGTCATGTGAGTCCAGAAGGTTGTGTCTGACCCGGTTGTGTCTGACCCGGTTGTGTCTGACCCGGTTCTCTCTGTGTGCATGGAGCAGATGAGTGTGTGTGTTCAGTGTGGTTGGAAGGTTCTCTGCCTGTTGGTGGTTCCGGTTCTGCTCTACGTGTTCTGGTTCTACGTCCACCTGAGCATCCTCCAGCGCAGCGGACCACATGACCAGCTGATGAGCTCCGCCTTTCAGGCCAGCCTGCAGGTAGCCCCGCCCTCTCACCTGGCTCAGGTGTTCCTCAGCAGGAACCGACCCGAGAGTCCTGCCTGTTAGCCACCACAGCTATTAGCCGCTGTAGCTGTTAGCAGCTAATGATGCGCCGGTAGCCATTGTGAATTAAACTGTTCCAGTGCAGGATGAGCAGAAACCTGTCAAATGTTTGTAGCTTCTAGTTTCTTGTCTGATTTCTATAAAATGGTTTAAATTAAATCTTAGAAACTTGCCGATGTTTTGATGTGTAAAATGTAAAAATATTTGGACATAAATCTGTAAACAGTTTGGTTTCTGTCTGTATGGAAGAGAAGACTAAACGCATTTTTCTTTTATGTTAATAATTTACATCCCCTGCTGTTGTCCGCCTCACCGTCTGAAATGTTTCCTGGATGTTATGAATATCACCACATGAGGCAATCAGTCGTTTTTACCTGCCAGAAACAGAAACACAACCTTGAACACCTATTTTCTGACTTTAATCAGTCTCTGAGTCGACTCCACTCCTAATGCAGACCCGTTGCCATGGAAACCGACAGATCACCAGCAGAGCTTAGATCTCTGTATGTCAGTCGGTGTGAGTCGCTTTATTTTAGTGCCAACTGAACCGAAACACAGACTGCAGCACAGCTACATGGTAGCTAGCATAGCAGACCGACTTCCCAAAGTCTCAGTATTTTATAAAACCTTTCCTGACCTGTGAAAGGTCAAACCAGCAGGACATTTCTCCAACCCGGTGTTCCTCCCAGCGTCCAATCCGATCACAGATCAATGGTTCTGATTGATCAGCAGCTGGTGGACTGATGGACTGCTTGTCCGTTTCAGGGCGGTCTCTCCCGGGTCACGCGGGGTCAGCCCCTACAGGTGGCGTTCGGTAGTCAGGTGACCTTACGAAGCTCTGCCCCCCGGCCTGTCCCCTGCTGGCTCCATTCACACAAAGCCAACTATCCAATCAGGTGCCGCTGACTCGGTCCCACCCTGCAGCCAATCAGAAGCCTCAGAGGACAAAATGGTAACTTCCTGTTTCTGTGTTCAGGTATGAAAATGGGCGGGGCAGCTCCCACCAGCAGCAGGTGACCTGCTACGCCTTCAAGGACGTCAACAACTGGTGGATCATCAAGGACCCGGCAAGGTAGGTCAGAACCGGGTCAGGACCGGAGCAGAACCGGGTCGGGTTCTGCAGGTCCCAGCAGGTGTGTGTCTCAGACAGGAGCTGGTGGTGGACTCCCCGCCCCGACTCGTGCGACACGGTGACATCATCCAGCTGGTTCATGGGATGACATCACGCCTCCTCAACAGGTACGCAGCTCACCTGCTGTGATGTCACTCTGCTGCCGTCAGCGCTGACCTTCTTCTTCTTCTGTGGTAGCCATGATGTGGCCGCGCCCATGAGTCCTCACGCTCAGGAGGTTTCTGGATATATAGACTTCAACGTTTCCATGGCAACCCAAAACTTGTGGAGGCTGGTGAGTCCAACCGGACCGAACCAGAGAAACTTTACTCTGGGTTAAGGAGGGGGAGGAGCCACAGACAGAGGAGCTGCTAGAGCAGAGCATGATTGGTCATTGGTCTTCTATGATCCTCTGGCTGAACCAGACGCTAAGCTAGATGCTAGTCCAGCTTTACCTCCAGTGGCACCAATAATGCCCTACCGAGCCCGGTTCTGGTTCTGGTTCTACTGAGCCCGGTCTTTGTGTTTTGCCTTCAGGAGATCTACAACAGGGAGGCGGAGTCAGAGGAGTGGAAGACAATCGTCTCCGAGGTCCGATTGGTCCACGTCAACACTTCAGCTGTGCTCAAGGTCCTCACAGGAAGTGATGTCATCGCAGTGGCTGAGCAGAGCATCAGCATTAACCTGTGTGTGTGTGTGTGCAGCTGAGCGGCCTGCTTCTCCCAGACTGGGGTTTCCGTCAGATGGAGGTCGTGGCGGAGAAGCTGCTGAAGGCTCACAGTGGCAGCCTGGGCTGGACGGTGGAGGAGCACCGATACGGAACCAGTACGACCCGCAGAACCTGCAGAACCGAGTCTAGACAGTCAGCTATCAGTCTGTCACAACATGGAGTTTAGATTCCTTCACTAACATGGAGCGACAGCAGAGAGGAAAACTCCCCTTAGCAGGAAGAAACCTCCTGCTAACACCGTTAGCAGGAGCTAACGCCAACTAAAACCAGATTGAATATAATGAATGAATAAACCTTAAAGTGACATGGTAACAAAACATTGTGATATATCAGAAAATGTTTTGAGCTCCATGCTAACTGCAAACAGCTTGAGTTAGCAACTGGAGCTTGTGACGCTATGCTTTCCTTTCTGATTAGAGTTAGCTGGTTAGCTACCAGCAGCTGTTTCTCTCCTCCTCCTCAGTTTGCTCATTATCTCCATCTTTCTTTCTCGGCTTCACATCGCTCAGTGAAAGGACTGAGCGTTGCTGACTGTTCCAGCTGGACGCAGCTAGCACTGTAGCAGGTAGCTACAGGATGCATTGCAGCGTAAACAACATAGTTGTTTCCTGTTTTTAAATCTGACATAAATATTCTCAGATAGTCTGTTGTTACAACCTGTAAAGACAGAGAGAAGTCAAAGGTCAACAGCCCCATCTATCGGAAGAGAACATGGAGGTATGGGTAGCAGTAGCTGATGGCCTCATGTAGTGACATCACCATCTCCCATGATGCATCCCCTGCAGGTCAGGAGCAGAAGGAGCGGGAGGCGGAGCTTCACTCTCCGACACACATCGACATCGACAGAAAAATCTCCTTCTGGTCCAAATTCACGGAGCTCCAGGTATGACCGTGAACGCATCACTGCGATGTCACTCCCAGGTGATGCTGTGATCCCTCTGATGATGTCATACTGTGATGTCACTGCAGTGGAAGATGCTGACTGTGAAACAGGAAGAGTCTGAACACAAGTACAGCTCCGCCCCTTTAGAGTGGATCGCCATGGAAACCAACATCGCCTACTGGCTGCACCCCTCGTCCAATGTAACACACACTCAGAAATACACACTCACAGTATTTGGTCCTGATCTCTGATTGGCCGGCTGTGTTTCAGGCTCAGATCCATCTGATTGGTAACCCGGTGTCATGGGGTGTGGCCAACCTCAGCCTGCTGGCCTATCAGCTGCTGGCGGCGCTGTACCTGCTGAGGAGGAGGCGGGGCTTCAGAGACCTACCTGATGGTGCGGTTTCCTGGCAGGTTCTGCTGTCAGGCCCGGTTCTGATGCGTTTCTGACCCGGTTCCGATCCGGTGTGTCTGCAGGTGCGTGGCAGCGGTTTGCGTCTGTGGGCCTGCTCTGCGGCGGCGGCTGGGCGGTGAACTTCCTGCCCTTCCTGCTGATGGAGCGGACTCTCTTCCTGTACCACTACCTGCCCGCCCTCTGCTACCTGTACCTGCTGAGCCCCGCCCTGCTGGAGCACATACACACTCACCTGCTCAGGTACACACACGCAGAGACGGGGGACAGATCAGGCCGTTGGAGACAGCAGGTGGCAGAAAACATGGAGGACATGCCAACTCCACCACTCTGCTTTAACTCTTCCTTTACTTTGAAAGGCTGCTCTTCTGCTTCCTGTGGACAGTGATGGCTCTGTTTCTGTCCACAGCAGCAGGACGTCCCGCCACATGCTGGCCGTCTGCACGGCGGCTGTCCTGCTGTCCATCTTCCTGTCCTACTGGACCTTCTGTCCTCTGACCTACGGGAACCCCGAGCTGACAGCCAATCAGCTGCAGGCGCTGAAGTGGAGAGACAGCTGGGACATCCTGTACCGCCGCCGCTGAGACACCGAGGGACGCTGAGAGACACCTAGACTGTTCTTTACGAGAGAATCCTGAATGCACCACCAGCTCTAGTCATGTGACCTGATGATGTAACAGTGATGGCTGATAAAAATATGAGATGAGCATTAAAACAGTGTGCTTTTATTTTGAAAGAGACACTTCCTGTCAGTCAACAGACTGAAGCATCTGAGTCTGCTGAGTAAGAACAGATTATTACTCATCCATCCATCATCCATCCATTCATCATCCATCCATCATCCATCCATTCATCATTCATCCATCATCCATCCATCCA